TCAATGCACATTTCAAACATTTAGAATCTCTGTCGGATAACGTTAACAAGTGTGCGCAATATTTAATTAAAGAAATTGAACTAAAACTGCCTGTAAATTATGTTAATCGCGAAATCATAAGATTAATGCTAAAAGATAATTACGACGAAATCGCACATGAAGTACGTACACAAATTACTGACTTGATTTTTCTCGATTCGTATTTTAACATAATATTTTTAAAACTAATTACATTACGTTATAACGAAATTTTACATTTAATTCTTTCGAACCGAGAATTGTAATTCGTAACGACTTATTATAAAACTTTTTGTTTTATTCACTTGAATGAATTATGTACTTTCCTACGAAGAAGAATTTATATAAATACATTTTTATACTTTAAACTTTTGTTTATTTTTTACTCATGTACCTCATCCCTTTTACATTAGACTCCTTTTCTCTCGCAATTAAGACTTAGATAATGTACATTAAAAACATAAAATATAGAAAGAATTTTTCATTAAAGCAATGTCAGAATCAACACACAAAGGCGTCACGCCACATCAGCCGAACATGTTCGTTCCTGTTTTACCTCCCTTTCTCCCTAGTGAAAGCAGGAGTCTTCCGAAAATTCTCGTAAAAGACCTCGTCTTAAATAATAAGAAAAAAACCCTTTCACTAAGACGTCAACATGTCGGAGACATCGTGTCGCGCCAGCAAAAAATGCAGCACAAAAACTGTGTGCATATTCGCTGACCGTCCCTTCCCCCTTTCCCCACCCGTAACGAACAACAGTTCTCGGTCCTACTTTTCCTCGGTTTTCCTATCCACCATTTTGCCACGGTATTCTTCCCTGCCGATACCCCCACCCTTTCCAATCACCACGCGGACAGCTATGGCCCGAGCCAATCAGCGTGTGGGTAGCTATGGCTTGAGCCACTCAACACGCAACATTTAATTACCTCGTTATTCCCACCTTTACGTCGTCCACCAATCAGAGCGCACCATTTCTCCAGACAGACCCGTCTAGGCCACCCCCCACCTGTCTGGAGCTGAAGTGGAGGGGGTTTGTTTTGACGCCGAGGGAGAGGGGGTTTGTTTTGACGCCGAAGGGAAGTGGAGGGGGTTTGTTTTGACCGGCCAGTGCTTCCCACATACTACTGATAAACTTTTGTATAAAAGTCGCAAATTTATTCGTTTGAGCTTTTAACTTAAGTAAGTACTTGAAACTTCGCTTGCAGCAGATATATTGCAATCCCGGTCACTAATCAGATTAATACGAGGCACCGGTCATTAACTGGGTCAAACATATAGTCACTAACTGGGACAAAGCAAAATTGAGCGGACGCTAATAGGTACATTTACATGTAGCGATATCGGTTATTTTATGAATAAGTATGTATACAGTATTACAATATTATAGCGATGATTTTCAATTGATAAATGATCTAGCTTTCCTATAATAATAAAAGTTTCAACTGAAAGCCAAGTTTTGTTTACTTAAATCTCATTCATTACATTCATTACTAACCTTACTTGGTCGCTAATTGGTACATTCACCTTAGTTATTATAAAAGAAAAACAATCCATGACTTTAGCTCCGTACTGTTTTTCTGTCTAACGGGAGAGGGATGTTATAGTCATAGTTATAAGCAGAAAATAAAATTAATCAATTAATAAATTAGGCACTTAGCAACTGCATGGTAAACGACCTGCAGGCCATTGACTTCTGAAGAAGTCTCCAAAAAATTGTGAAAATGTAACTTTGCGAAAGCAACGAGCAATTAATGCAAAACTGTCTTCCGCAAGTTGTGAAGAGACGGAAGCGATTGCCCGTCAAATTGGGAAATCCGGATGCGAACTATCAGCACTAACCGCATTCGGAAAAAGCGTTGACCGAAACCTGCTCGAACAGCTGACCAAGTTCAAGCCAGGAGAGCAGCTCGAGCGGATATACTAACAAACGCTGTGGCATACAGCCCAGAGTAGTCTTATCTCCTGTTATCCGAGACTACGTGATACGCGTCTACAACCTCACGCACTTGAGCGACCGAATTATAATTAAATGCGATACGCGAACTGAGATTATACTTCCGAAACGAGTCGAAAAGTGAATCATTGTCTAACATTGTCTACATTGTTAAATTTTTATTTTGCTCATTTAATTTAATTAAACGTGTTAGTGAAAGTGATAGTGTTTTATTCTTCCTACCTCGTAGGAATACCTCAGCAATACCTGTGGCCTATCACCCAAAGATACAATATAATTATGTTAAAAAATAATTGGAAAGAAAAACCATGGTTTTCTGATCAGATTCAGCAGCTAGTAAGGGAAAAAGTAAGACGTATAGAAAGCTTGTATGAGTAAAAAGCCTGAAGACTGGAAGTGGTTTAGGCAATTAAGAAATGAGGTAGTTAGAGAATGTAGAAAAGAAAAGAAAATCTACTTGGAAAGAGACGCTTAGATAGTAATAGGAAAAATCCGAAATAGATGTGGATTACTGAAGGAGTTGCTGAAAGGCAAAGTGGTAAATATAATAATTATAAGGAAATACGATATGAAAATAAATTAATTGATGATGCCATTGAAAATAGCTAAGATGTTTAATAGTTATTTTGTGGATAATATTAAATCACTAAGTCACAAAAATTAACTAGTATATAATTCAAAGAAGTTCAAGTATACTAATAGCATATTGGAGGACTTTAATGTGATAGAGTTAGAGTATTTGAGGAATATAGTTGAAAAATTACCTAATAAGAGTGGTTCTGAGGAAGAGATTGCCGTTGAAGTAATGAAAATAGTGACTGAAGTGATATGGGTAAAAGATTGAGTCATCTAATAAACAAATCGTTGAATGCAGGAATATTTCCTGCTAAATGGAAAGAAGCGGTAGTTGTACCGGTTCAAGCGGTAGTTGTACCTAAGGTTCGAGAAACGATAAAAATGGAAGAGTTTAGGCCAGTAAATAAGTTACCGATATACGAAAAAATATTAGAGATTGTAGTTTAGAGACAATTAGTAAAATATATAGAAAAAAACAAATTAATTAGCGAATGTCAATCAGGTTTTAGAGGTAAACATTCTTGTGAGACAGCGTTACAATAAATATTATCGGATTGGAAGAAAAGCATAGGAGAAAGAAAAATGATAGATGTGGTTTTCTTAGATTTGAGTAGGGCATTTGAGATTGTGAATAGGAAAATATTGATTAAAAAATTGGAAGGATTTGGCATTAAAAAGACAGCAATTAATTGGTTTAAGAGCTATTTAGAAGGTAGGACTCAAAGAGTCAAATTTAATGAAGTACTATCTAGTCCGATTGAGGTAAACGTAGGTGTACCACAAGGTTCGGTACTGGGGCCATTATTATTTTTATTATATATATACGATTTAAATGAAACCATTGGGGATAAATGCAAAATAAGATTGTTTACTGACGATGCTGTAATATATACTGAAGGTTATTCTAGCTATGAAATAAATGATCAATTAAACGTACAGATGAAGAAAATTGAGGAATAGTTACTGTTAAATAGACTTCAGCTAAACGTAGACAAATCTAAAGTAATGCTAATTAGAGGAATAAGGAAAATAGTAGCACAAGAAAATATTAGTATAAGAATAAAAAATAAAGAAGTACAGATAGTAAATGAAATAAAATACCTAAGAATAATTATAAAAATCTGACTTTTTCGGCTCATGTAAATCATATGAGTAAAAAAATAGGAGCTAAATTAGAAGGGTTTGCGTAGACTTGTCGCCGTTGATGAGATGCACAGTGTATGGATCTATAATAGCGCCGCTGTTTGACTATTGTTCATCGATTTTGGTAGGAATTAGTGGAGCAAACCTGAATCATTTACAAAAATTACAGAATCAGGGAATGCGAATTATACTAACAATAAGATGTAATAAATATGTGAGAATAATCGATATGCTAAATGCGTTACAGTTCATGTCGGTTAAAGAAAGAATTGAGTTTAATGAATGCGTTTTAGTATATAAGATGATAAATGGGCTGTTCCCAGATTACTTAGCGAATAAAATACAACTAGTGCGATCAGATAATGCAATGCAAACAAGGCAGATGAGTAACTTAATGTTAGATAGATGTAAAACCAGGGAAGAACAAAAAATATTACTCTACGATGGATTTAAAATGTTCAATAACCTGCCAATAGAGTTAAAGAAAAAGTACAAAGTACAAAGTTTTAGAAGTCAATTAGTGCAATATATTAAGAGAAAAAAGCGTGAAAATAAAAAACTGAAATTCTATTATGTAATTATATATATTCTTTATGCAGTTTTTATTAAGATATCTGTATATAGAAAGCTTTTTAATGTTAATTTTAATACTTATTAATGTCAATACTTGTAAGTAGCTATGAAGCTAATAATAAATGTGATATATACAAGGCAATATGTAATAAAATTTCTTTTACATTCAATATTTGTGAAAGTACAATAGTCTAGAGTCTTCTATGATTATGGAACATTTTAATTTTTCTCTCACAATCATCTAATGTATATAATTTAAATCTTAAAAAAAAAATTGCTACTTTAATAAATATGGCTGCATAAAATTATTTTGAGAATACTTTTTATGCGTTGTTAGATCTATAATAATATATATATATATATATTTAAGTATATATATATATTAAAGTAGCAATTTTTTTTATTATTATTCAATACTGATTCATATATTGGACCAGTACCATTAGTGATACTGGTCCAGTACACTGAAATATGAAACTCATTTTTCAGTACAGATTCGGTAGGATTCAATACCGTTTTTCTATATGAATTCCCACTAGGGTAACAATATTTACATAAATTCTACATTATTACTTGATTAATTTAAATTTTTAGATAATGGTGTCACTTATGACACTTTAAAGTACATGATTAGTAATCAGCGTCTAGAACTAGCTAAAGTTATACCATCGATAGGTGCAAGAATTGCACTGCAAAATTATTTCAATTATGATTTAAAGAAAGAAGTAAAAGCCTCTCCTGAGATTTCTGTGACTCCTATTTTAACGCCTCCAGTGACTTCAACTCTGACACTTGCTATTACACCACAAGATGTTCGACCCTCTAGTAATAGCACCGTAAGAAATGTTAGACTTTCTAATAGTAGTACCTCTTGATAATAACACATCAGTAAGTGATGATACCGAAGCTACAGAAAATATTACACAACCACTCTTGGTTGAAGTCAGTCCTTCTGTTACAAGTGATACACAAAATATAATATTAAACAATGATAAAGAGCTAACCGAAATACAGAATATTGAAACAGTAGACAACATGATGACATGTATTATAAAATTTTTCAGAATTTGAATTATAATAAGTTATCACTGGTATTTGTTAATGTGGTTTATTGTCATGAAAAATTTAATTCGTTATTCGATGCTGTGTTGGAATTGAGACGTAAAGAATTGGATTATTCCAATAAACTGTTGCTGGATATGCTAGATAGCACTATTCCAAATGGTAATGAAAAATGGAATAATTTGTGTAAATGTTTACTAATAACGTTTTTGTTTCAGATACAAAAACTTTAATTAAAATTTCTTTATTATTTTCGCTTTTACCAAATAAATCGTCGAAAGCAAAAGTTGGCAAAAATATCTTCAAACCAACTCTAATTGAATCACAAGAAGCTATAGTACTTCATGTCAAGATCTTTAAAATCTAAATATATTCAAGTTCCTTTTTTGGTTCTTTGAAAAAAAGATCTAATTGTGAGTATTATACGAGGGACACTATTTATATTTTGAGCCAAATAATAAAAAAACAGTAATTTGTCATTGAAAATGACTATTGTTTTTCAAAATATTCTCCTTTATGATCTATACACTTTTGCATGCGTTCGAACCACTTGTTTGCACCAATCGACACGAGTATCTCTTTAAGATTTTGTCAGATTATGTGGGATCCAACGAGAACAAACCTTTTTCACGGCTAAATGATCATGCAATATTTTATATATGCTGGTGGAACTAATGCCTAAGGTTGTCTCAATCTCACAGTATGTCACATGACGATCTTGCATTATTAGTTTTTGCACAGCATCAATGTTTTCTGACACAACAACTGATTTTGGACGACCTTCACGACTTTCGTCGGTGAGCGAACGGCGACCACGATTAAATTCGTTATACCAGCGTTTCACAGTGGCAAAGGATGGGGCTTTATCGCCAAAAGTGGAAGTAAGTTGATCGATGCACTCCTGTCTTGATAATCCACGTCGAAAGTCGTAATAAATCATTGCACGAAAATTTTCACGAGTTAATTCCATTTTTTCGCTGAGACACAATTTTCAAGTGACTGTAAACAATACAAATCGCGCTCAAATAACAAAACGTTCTGAAGAAGGTTATGGTCAAAAATGTCAAACTTTCTAGTGAAAACGTCAAATGGCACCTGACAACACTCAGTGTTGCCAAGGCTCAAAATATAAGTAGTGCCCCTTGTATTATTTTAGATTCCTGGTGACATAGAAGAGGAAATAGTAAAGAAGAGAAATTGGCTTTAAAAATTCAAATTAACCTTGCAGCCTTTTATACTTGTGGTAGGACCTTCTGTAACAGAAATTCAGTCAATTTTTGTAAGAATCGATGACGTCTCGTATAAAGTGAAAACAGTGTTCAAAGCTTTGGAGATATGTTTTATGAGTTTTGTCGTCCTGGACTTGAAATATCCACCTGTGACAGAACACATCTGGTATTTATTTCAAAGAACTGTTTTTGATTTAGAATTTCGAGGAGATAACAAAATTCCTATGATTTGCGATGTGATTAATAAGATATCTAAATAGTTTTTACCTTGGAATTACTAATATATTATATTGAAGTTTCGTTTTTATATTCTAAGTGTTTATAAAAGTATAGATTCTTTATTTGTCAGTTGATAATTTTATCAATCAATTTTCGTAAGAAACCATAACATCTCGTAAAAAAAGTTAAACTTTTAGAAATAAATTTTGTGTCTTTTGTCGTTCTAGGCTTAAGATATTTACTTGCGACAAAACACATCCGGTACTTCAAAAAACTTTATATAGAATTCCAAAGAAAACAAAATCTCTGACTTATGATGAGATTACAAAAATATCTAAATAGTTTTTACCTTGGAATTACTAATATATTATATTATTTTTATATTCTAGTGTTTATAAAAGTATAGACTTTTTATTTGTTAGTTGATAATTTTATCAATCAGTTTTATAAGAATCCGTAACATCATATAAGATGAAAACAGTGTTCCTTTAGAAATAAGTTTTGTCTTTTGTCGTCTTTGATTTAAAATTCACCTGCTGATACTTCAAAGAATTGTTTTTTTTATATAGAATTCCAAGGTGAACAAAAATTCAAACAAACAAAATCTCTATACTTCGTGATATGATTAAAGAAATATCTAAATAGTGAAATTGCTGATGTATTGATGTTTTGTTTTTGTATTCTAAGTGTTCATATAAAGTCTAAGGTAAAAACACTTTAAAATTCAATTTAAAATCACGAATATTATCTATTCTTTTAAAAATGATTTGTATTATTTGTTATCGAGAATTTAAAGGTATCGAACATTTAATAAAATATATGAAGGCAACTCATGTTTATGAAGAAAGTTTTCAATGTAACTTTTTCAAGTGTTTTAAGAAATTCGTTAGCATTCTGTCTAAAGAAACATTTTAAAACTTTGCATGAAGAGCTTTGTAATGATGCAACAATGATGCATCGCCTGCATTGAATAAACTTACAAATGTTCATATTACTGATGGAACATTATGTTCAAATAATATACTAACTGTTGACGTTAGTAACAAATCTAATGTTAAAGCTGATGATAGAAATATTCAAGATACGATTGAAATTAATATACAAACAATTGATAATGCAATATTGAAATTCATTGCTATATAGTAATACCTCCATTATTAGAAATATTGTGCAAATTTTAGTTGATGATTGCTCAGAACTTGTACAAGATTTACTGTCACATATAAAAGACAAATTACAATTCGAAACATCTTTTTCTAAAGATAATAATATTTGTAAAGTGATTAATGATGTCTTCGATAATATAAATGCTAGTTCTACAATGTTTTGCTTCCTGTTTCTTGGATTTTGCTTTTTGTTTTTTCGTTTCTTGTATTCTTGTCGCACTGAGTCGAGAAACACGTCATGTACAATTTGTTTTTTCTGAATTACCGAAGAAAAATGTTGTTTCACTTAGACCAATCACAGACCAGTATTCAAAGTCCATTCTCATGTTACTACATTCTTATTGGCTAATGATGTTTAGACCAATTCTTATGAAGACGATCTAGTTAATGAATCATGATGTAAGGTAAGTCAAGTTAATAGACAAATGTAATTCGTTAATAGATAATTATATAATAACAAATAATAACAAGTTAAATACATATTTGCAGTTTGTGCATTCTTGGATGTCCTACTTAATCAGTAAAGAGAACAAATAAGTTAATATAATGAGAGATTTTTCATCCTTTCATCATTTACACAGATACCTTAAAATCTAATTTTTTGGCATAATCTAAAATGTATATAATCTAAAATTATGTTTTTAAATCGATCGATAGAGAAATCTTGATATACAAATAGGAAGATGTTGATTAAGATATTATATACGAGGGTTGTCTGAAAAGTTTCCGACCTCAACATGAAAATGACAACACTCGTCAACAAAAGTTGGGGAATGTGTTTGCGCATGCTTTGAAAGGTACTCACTAAAATTTCAGCCATTTTGGACGCGCAGTTGTTGTTTGACAATTGTTTGAGTGAGTCGATGTGAGTGTTTTTGTGAAAATGGAAAAAATCGAGTACCGAGCTGTCATTAAATATTTGTTTTTGAAAGGCAATATGCCTACGCAAATTAAAGACTAGTTGGACGCTGTGTACGCGAACTCTGCACCATCATTTACCACCGTGAAATTTTAGGCAGCTGAATTTAAACGTGGCCGTCTTTGCCGACGACACTGAGAGTTGTGCTGACTTGTGCTAGGCCAGCACAACTCAGATATATAATATCATTTACATCGAACTATTATAAACCTGAATTTTGGACAAAAAATTCTTACGCGAGCGGTCGCGCTCAAGAGTAAAATACCCTTAATATCGTTGTGCTAGCGAATATAATGGTTGTGCTGACTTGTGCTAGGTTAGCACAACTCCGAGGTGGATATGGACGAAGAGTAAGAGACATGATTGCGCCAAAACTCGAAGAATGGTACCAAAGAAAAACAGGGAGAATAACCTTCCATATGATGCAAATCATATCAGGACACGGATGTTTTAGCAACTACTTACACAGAATACAAAAAATAGGTACAACGAAATGCGCACACTGCGCAAGCAGAATAGATGACGCTAATCATACATTAGAAACTTGCATAGCGTGGACGAATGAAAGGCGACAACTGACTAGAATAATAGGGTACAATTTAAATATGACGCATATAATTGAACAGATACTGAGAGACGGAAAAAACTAGGAGGCTTTCTCCCAATTTTGTAATAAAGTGATGCTAGTAAAGGAAGAGGCGGAGAGGGCCCGACAGGCGATTATCCGGGCTCCCCACCCCCCTCGCGCGAACAGAGTATAACACGTTCGATATAGAGAACCGATAAATATAATTAATCGAGTCAGGTAGTTAGATGCGAGTCACTAACCATAGCGACTCGACAGGTTAGCGGCGAAAATATATATATATATATATAAACACACAGAAAGTACCGCGCAGAAGTAGGAAATAAATAAGGGCTGTCGAACGCCTGACGTCATACTTCGGTGGTTCCGGGCGTTCGACAACAGGCTCATGGCGGTAGCGCAGGACAGGGGGAGTTTTTAATTGGTAGGCGGACCCGGGTACGTGAAAGGCAAATAATGGCAATAGTACCGGGGGACGGCCTTTCTGGAACGAAAGCCGGGCCTCTCCTTCGCCTTGGGAATTGGCCCATATAGTGAGCAGCCCTCTGGCCGTCCTCGCGGGCCTGGCCTGAGCCACACTGCCCGGACGACAGTTTGAATCCAACACACCCATCGTGCGCGGTAATGGGTGTCTTCCCTTCGGTTAGGTTAGGTTCAAACTCCCTTAAGGGAGGATTCCTAGCCGAGGGTTCAGGAAGATTTTCTCCTCCTACGCAAAACAAAAAAAAGGCTAGCACAACTCCGGACAGGAGTCCATAGATGGCAAGAGGATTTATTCTCAAAGCGAAGAACTAGTAAGCATCAACAGTGACAGGACAGTTGACACAAAAAAGGAAGGAAAAAGGTACCCGATCAGACAAAGTAATAGGAAAATAGGTGCCTCACGTGAAGGCGTCCCAGGTGTTGTATACTATAATCGAAGTGTAAGGTTAAATCAATAAATCGCAACACATACGCAAGTAGGATGCGGGGAGCACAGACATTCAAAGGGGACAGAAACGAAAAAACCAAAGATGATGATATCCACAAAAGGAACATAGAGGAACGAACGAGCAGAAATAGACGACCTGAGATACTAACAATAAGTGATACACAAACGAAGACAATCCGGCCACCAAGAGCATCAGCTGTAACGATGCTGTGGAGAGGAAACAACATATGCGGAGGCCATGATGATGGCAAAAAGAAAAATCGATTTAGAAGAAATTGGGATCTCAAATATGAGAATCAGATACGCCGCTACGGGCGGTCTCATTTTTGAA